TATATTACTATTATAATTGGCGCTAATCCTGCGAAATAATTACCGAGTGGAAGGAACTTAACTCATAGGTGACGCGTAAAAAGAGGAAGTATCGGAACACCTTTGGATAGTTAATGCGATCGTCAACGAGATAAAAAAAAGAAAAAATAAAAAGTTAAGAGCAACGTAGCTATGGAACGTACGATAGAATTAATTATACCTATATAAGAAATCTAATATAGGATAAAATCGCGATATAAAAGAGATATATACTTGGATGTCTCTTCCTTCTTAGTTATTTTGTTTTTCTTGTCTTTTTTCTTTCTTCTTCTTCTTCTCTCTCTCTCTCTCTCTCTCTCTCTTTCGTCTTTTCCATTTAACTTCGTCGATTTCTACGTATACGTAGATACGTAAGTTACGTTTAATAGCGAACGGGTGCGATAATGAAGAGATCGGGTGTCGGCCATCGGGCAAATTAGCAGCTTCGAAGAATGTTTTCGCGGGGGGTAATGGTATGTTGGTATTGGTGTTGGGGTTGGTATTGGGTTGAAAGGAGCAAAGAAGAGCGGAGAAACATAGAGAGATAGAGAGAAAGACAGAGTCAGAGATACACATACAGAGAGAGAGAGAGAGAGAGAGAGAGAGAACGCTCGTAAATCAGCGAACATCGATAAGAGTCGTCGCGTCGTCCGCACGATGTCCCTCGTTAATAATTGATACAATTAACGGCCATTCATTAGAGACTCGCGAGACTCTCCGTTGTACATGTACCTACATGCATACGTCGTACTCTCTCATACATATATACATACATACGTATCTACATCTATAAACAAGTATATGTACAGTATACATACATACATATACACGTAAACACGTTGGTAGGGGAAGAATAACGCGCGAAACGATTTACATCCACTCAATGTTTCGCGCGCTTGTTTTCTTCGATCTACGCCGTTTCGGGGTCTGCCTTTTATTCGCGACAGATAGTCGATATCGTCGACAGTTTTTCTTCTTCCTCGATATTTCTCTTTACCGAACGAGTTCGAGCTCTACCAACAACGCTAATGACCGACGCGATCGCGCGAACTTGATGTTGTTTGGTCTACGTTCTCTCTCTCTCTCTCTCTCTCTCTCTCTCTCTCTTTCTACCTTTCTCCTTCTCTTTCTCTATCTATCTATCTATCTCTCTCTCGCTCATTCACTCTCTTTCTCTCCTAAACTCACCATTATTTTCTCTCTCTCTCTCTCTCTCTCTCTCTGTTTCTTCTTTCTCTCTCTTTTTCTTTTTTTCTTCTTCTTACTTCTTTTTTTTTTTCTTTTTTTTTTTTTTGTTACCATCCAATTAGCGAGCACGTCGAGGTTTATCGCGACGTCTGATTTATCGAATATTTTCTATGATTTATCCCCGCGACGAGGTATCGTTTTTCTTTAGCCGTAGGGAAAATCGCGGCAAGAGCAATGAATAGTAAAGCAATAGTAGATTATTTCGTTTCGAGTTTTTCGTAAATAGCGATAATTCCTTCGACGATGAACGACACGCGCGCGAAGGAATATTTCCGAATGATAATATTGATAAAGAAAACGAGACCGAGAGCGAGAGCGAGAGCGAGAGAGAGGGGGGGAAAAAAAAGAGTATACCTATCGCATGTAAGTGCTGTATTATTAATTAACGTAGTCGAGAAGTTAAAGCACGTTAAAGGATAAAAAAAAAAAGAAAAAAAAGAAAAAAAAGGAAAATAAAATAAGAATCGTGTGATACGAAGGAGAGAGAGAGAGAGAGAGAGAGAGAGAGAGAGAGAGAGAGAGAGAGAGAAAAAGAGAGAGAGAAAAAGAGGGAGGGAATGTTTAAGAGAGAAAAGCGTAATAGCTTCATAAAATCTTAATGAATATTTATAAACGCATTGAATACATCGTTATCGATACGAAAAATTCGATTAATTGCTTAGCAATATCGTACTATCACAAATTTTCATACGATCGAAATACGTTCTCTACGTTAATTTCTTTTATGCTTTTTTTTTTACCCTGTCATGTTCTTTTTTTTTTTTCTTTCTTATTTACATTACACGGATAATATCCCATCCTATCTATGACTTTATAAAATGAAATGAAAAAGAGAAGATAGAGAGAAAAAAAAGATGAAGAAGAAGAAGAAGAAGAAGAAGAAGGAGAAGAAGAGGAAAAAAAGAAGAAGAAAGAAGAAAGAAGCGTGAAAAATTATTGTCGATTCCTGTTCCGACAAAGGATATTGTATGGAGAGGCGCGAAAAGTATGGTTCGAAGGGAGGGTATAGAGGGAAGATAAAAGAGAAAAAGAGAGAGAGAGAGAAAGAGAGACGTTCATTTACGCGCGTACGTGCACCTCACATAGATATCTTGCGCATGCATCAAATAGCGGTGAGTGCAACGGGCGAGTGCAGCGAGCTTCACGCTGCGTTGCGTTTCACCGAGCGCAGATAGACGGAAAGAACGTCTTGCACTTGAATAAGAAGAAAAAGAAGAGAGAAGGAAAGAGAGAGAGAGAGAGAGAGAGTGTGTGTGTGTGTGTGTGTGTGTGTGTGCATGTGTATGTGGTTGTATGTGAACGTGTATGCATGCATGTGTATATATGTAAGAAGGATAGAAAAGGAGAGAAAAGTGAGGGCGTCTCGCTTCCGCCGAGTCCTCCATGTCGGAGATGGCTTATAAATAACACCATCTCTGCGCTTCTTCCTGCGTTTTGTCAGTTTTTCTTCGGCATCCTCCTCTTCCTCCTCTCTCTTTCTCTCTCTATCTTCATCTTCTTCATCTTCTTCTTCTTCTTCATCTTCTTCTTCTTCTTCTTCTTCTTCTTCTTCTTCTTCTTCTTCTTCTCCTGCCTATCCTCAGGCTCCTCTTCTTCGTCTTCTTCGAGATTCTCGTCTGCGTACAACGCAAGCCTAATTAATACAGCGCGATGAACGATCGTGGCAAAACCTTCGAAATGATCGTGTGTGTGCGTTAGAGAAAAAGAGAGAGTGAGAGAAAGAGAGAATGAGAGTAAGGGATAGAAAGAGAGAGAGAGAGAGAAAGAGAGAAAACGTATGTAGATACACACGTTCACCCACGCGAGAATTCGGAACGAGAGATGAGTGCTTAGCGTATTTTTGTGTGTCTGTATGTGTTGTGTGTGTGTGTGTGTATGCGGTTGGATATAGAGAAGACATTGTCCGAGGAGAGACTGAGTCGAGAATCGACTACTTCTCGCACGATCTCGTTCAGAAAACCACCCGGGAGTTTCGTTACCGATATCATCTTCTCTCTCCCTCTCTCTCTCTCTCTCTCTCTTTCTCTCTCTCTCTTTCTCTCTCATACTCTTCGTTTTTATATTTCTTTCCTTTTTTTTTTACTTCTTTTGCATATCCTGAATCGCCGATGAAGAGTTCCGAGAGTGTCGAGATGGAGTATACTTTTTTAAGGGTGGTTCGCCATTATCGTTATATATATTAATATATACGCATGTATATATGTATGCATGTATATATAGGTGTATATGAAAGGATGAGTCATGTAAAAAAAAAAGATTGTTTTTTTCTCTCTCGTTTCTTTTTTTTTTCTTTTTTTTTTTTTTTTTTTTACATTCTCATTAGTTAGACTTCCGAAAGGCAAATCGAAGATTGGATCGGGGAACGAAAATATCGATATGGGAGAGATGTTAATGAAATTCCGAGTTTGAATATACTATGAAAGAGAGAGGTACGAGCAACGAGATAAGTGTGGTGAGATTCGAAGGAAGAGTCCATTGGTGGCATATCGAAGAAGACGAAGAAGAAGACAAAGACAAAGAAGAAGAAGAAGAAGAAGAAAAACAAAAGAAGAAGAAGATGAAAAATAAGAGTTGCAAATAATTTTCGTAGAGTCGCCGCTATCCGTGCTTGAGGACTCATCGTGCTTTTCTCTCTCTCTCTCTCTCTCTCTCTCTCTCTCTCTTTCTTTCTCTCTATCTCTATCTCTCTGTTTCTCTTTCTACATGTTATCGCCCGCGCAGAATCATAATGGGCCATAATTGCATAAATATAATGTTAATTAACAATTAAGATTGCCGCTTTGCCTAATTGAATCGGCGCTTCTGCGAGCTCAGAGGGGACATCGCTTTACGAACGTATAGTCCTTTCTTGCTTTCTCTCTCTCTCTCTCTCTCTCTCTCTCTCGTGAACACACACTTTCGTTTTATTTCAAGACAGACAGACAGAGAAAAAGAGACAGAGAAAGAGAGAGATAGAGAGAGGAACAGAGATAGAGAACGACGATGGTGGTTTAAGCGGTACGGCGTATCGAAAAATTATGCGAATGGTCTTTCTGCGTATGCACTTTCGATAGCTCGTCGAATCGGAGCCGGAAGACCGGCCTCATTCTCTTTCTCTCTTTTGAGGTTATTTTTCGATTGGTATATCGGAGAGTGAAAAAAGAAAAAGACGACAGAGAGAGAGAGAGAGAGAGAGAGAGAGAGAGAGAGAGAGAGAGAAAGAGAGACAGCGGGAAAGAAGAGAAAAATAAATAAATAAAAGGAAAAATAAAGGAAAAGAAGAGAGAAGAGGAACATTTTTGGATAGCTTTCGTTGGTTTTTATTATCCTACTCGTTTGAGAAGAATTAATGCGATAATATTATGAAGTTATTACATCGTCGAGTAAATGGCCTTCTCTTGTTTCTACATCTTCACCCTTACGCGTTCTCCATTCTTTCTTTGAGTTCTTTCCATCTTTCTCTTCTCTCTCCTTTTCTCTCTCTCTCTCTCTCTCTCTCTTTCTCTTTTTTTTCTCTTTCATTCTCTTTGCGATATCGACGAAACTCACAAATGGAATTTAGTAACGCAATTAGCGTATACCCGAGGATACAGTAATAATTAATTCACGTTAATCGACTCTCCGCTTCGTTCGAGAATATACCTATCTACCTACCTACCTACCTACCTACCTACTTGCGTACAAAAATAAAAATTCTTTCTTAAAAATATCCATTTCACATTAACCATACGTTCTTTTTCTTTTTTTACTTTCAGATGGTTCAAGCGATTCAGGTCCTTCGATTTCACCTCCTCGAACTTGAAAAGGTAAGTTCGTAATAACGATTTAAATTAGATTATACTATGATCTCCTTTTCTCTCTTTTTCTTTCTTTTTTTTTTTCTTCTTCTTCTTCTTCCTTTTCTCTTTTAATCGCCATTTTTTTCTCCCCTTTTTTCACTTTAATCAGACATTTTGTATTTATTAAATTAATTCGATAAAAAGAGAGAGTGAGAAAAAGAGAGATCGTACCTATTCTGTTATATCTTCTCTCTCTCTCTCTCTCTTTCTCTTACTTTCTCGTCATCGTCATTCTCGTCCTTCTCCTTCTACTGAAGACTATCTTAATCGAACGACGATCGATAAGTCGATAAACGTTCGTGGAAGAACGTCCGACGCATACGTATCAAAAGTTTTCGGTCGCGTAGATGCCTATGCGGTCCCGCGCTTTTTTTGCGACCGCATTTTATCATACAAAATAGCCGGACATCCATCGCATTTCCATCGAAATGGCAGCTGACGTGGCGGCCATTGGTTCTGCTCGAGAGGTGGCCCTCGCGCGCGCGTGCACACACACACTCTCTCTCTCTCTCTCTCTCTCTCTCTCTCTCTCTCTCTCTGTCTCTCCACTCTCTTTCCCTCTCCCTCTTTCTCCTTTCCTCCATCTCCTTCATCTCCTCCTCCTTCTCCTTCTCCTCCTCTTCCTCCTAGTCTTTACCGCTCAGTTTAGCTCGATCGTGCAATTTTATAGCAATTTTATAGCAATTTTCCTCATTCGAGATGATTACATTATTGTGAAAAATGATATACCTACATATCTATGTATGCATGATAGCTGTCCAATCGTACGGTTAGCCACGGTTATCGAAGAGACTTAGGATGGTATTCATTGAAATGACGTCAATTCGATTTTAAAATTGAATTGACGTCATTTCAACGCTCGCAACGTTTATATCGACTAACCCCCTTGCTATCTATACAATATAATCACCCTTTTGTCATTTTTCGTTTCTTTCGTCAGAAGTTAAAAAGATTTCAATTGGCGTTTTATTTATTTTTTTCTTTTTTTTTTTTTTTTTTGAAACTTGTCGATTATTACATATCGATCGTAGTAAAAAATTTCATATCCTTTTAAATATATCGTCAAGTATCCTTAGAAAACGTAATATGTTTCTTTTTTTTTTCTTACTTACTTAATGAATGGAAAAAAATAATTAAATTATCCTGTATCCTTGTACCTTTGTACAATGTATTATACGACGTAAAAGAAAAAAACAACGATGATAATTAATTACCAAGCAATGAATACGAAATATGGAATTTTATTATACGATTTTGTACGATTTAACGATTAAGAACGTACGAACGTATTTGACGAGGACACGCGTCACGCGTGGCTGCGAAATATCGGACGGATAAAAGAAGATTGAAACGTTTCTGTTACCCAGGAGAAACTCGAAGTCGAGCTGAGCGATCGAGGTTGAGCGGAATGCAGCAAACGCGAGATGGAGAGGATTCCATAAATATCTGCGTTCAAAGTAAAGAGAGAAGGAGAGAGAGAGAGAGAGAGAAAGAGAGAGAGAGATAGATAGATAGATAGATAGATAAAGAGAGAGAGAGAGAGAGAGAGAGAGAGAGAGGGCGTGAGGCTGGAAGAAAAGGAGTAGAGAGAGGAGACCAATCGGGATGAGAGGCATGGTAGCCCGCGGTGCTGAGCCTCGTGCATTTAACATTTTCGAACCAATCGTGTATTAGCATAATTACGTTTTGCTGGAGCCCGGTGCGTGGAAGGAAGGGCCAGACGGGCCTCACATACACACGTATCCCTCTTTATCTCTCTCCGTCA